ACCTTCGAGTCTGAAATGACTGGTGGTGTTCGTCAGTCTTCTTGTGACTCCAATTTATAAACCCCCTCCCCGCTTCAGGGAGTATAATCGGCATCCTTATATTCTCCGTAGGACCTAGGGGGCTGGGTTGTGGAACCCTAAACCCTGAACCCTAAACCCTGAACTCTAAACCCTAAACCGCTGCTAGACCGTGATTGTGAACGAATGTTGCAAGGAACGACAGCCACTCCAAGCCCACCCGGGGAAGTCGAAAATGCCAGAAGTGTGGGTTTAGGGTTTAAGGGTTTTAGGGTTTAAGGGTTTAGGGTTTAGGGGTTTAGGGTTTCAGGGTTTTGGGCTTTAAGGGTTTAGGGTTTAGGGGTTTAGGGTTTCAGGGCTTTGGGGTTTGTTGGATGAACATGCACAATAACAAGCATCCTCGCCATACACGCAACCATACTACCAAGAAGAGAAACTAGAATTGCGCCAAAGAGTGCTAGCGATTGAAGTGATGATGGTGGATGTGGTGATGAAACTGATCACGCTGACCGCCGTGCTGGCAATGCAGATGAAAAGGAAATGCGATAGGAAAGCATGCAGAGAACGGGGACGTTGAGTAGCAGCTCGCAGCTTGACGACGACGATATATTATTAATAAGCCTAACAGGCAATCAAGATGAAGGCGACGTGCGATGGGAAAGCATGCAGAGAGCGAGAACGTTGACACCGAAGATGCTAGTAACTGCTAGTAATTCGCCAGACCGCCCTGCTGGTGGAGATACTGATGCCGGTGATGAGGAGTAGTAGGAGGAGGAAAAGCAGGACGACGATGACGATGACCATGGCGATGACGATGGCAATGACAAGATGAGGATGACGATGGCGATGGCTATGGCGATGATGATGTTGATGATGACGATGATGTCGACGATGATGGTGATGGTGGTGGTGCTGCTGATGATGATGATGAAGAAGAAAAATTGGGCTTCAAGGTAACAAATAAGAGTCGTCTGCAGCGGCGCGGTGATTCTCAGGGATCAGGGCCTACAGCACTTGTGCAGGACCTAACAATCATAAGACCCCCTAAACCCTAAACCCTAAACCCCTAAACCCTAAACCCCTAAACCCTAAACCCCCAAAAGCTGCAGCTCCAGAAGCCGTCTGAGCGAATCAGTCTCTCTTGCAAGACCTCCTCAAGCTTCTCCGTTGGCGGAAGCCGTGGGGCATTGTGGGGCCTAGGGCTATCCATGGACAAAACCGACGCAGCCAGAATGACCAGAGTTGGGACTCGAAGTTCGATGTCGGTGCTTTGAGTCTTCCTTAAGGTGCCGGCCAGAGGCCAGAATTTACGGGTGAGGGAGTGGGGGCTCTGGTGTAGCGGCATGCATTTGAGGTTTCTGGATGAAGCTGTCAGGCTGAAGCTGTGGGCTGATATGTCGCGCAGTTCGAGGTGTTTAAACCCTCAACACTACTGATGCCCAGGTGCTGCAAGGCACGAGGGTCCTTGACCTTGAATTTCGAACCGGGAACTCAACTCTAAACACTATTGATGCCCTGATGTGACTGGTGATATGCCGAAAACTGGTCGTACAAAGCTGCCGTTTACCCTAAGCTGGCCGGCGCCCATGCTATCCATGGTCTCAGGATTGTTGCACAGATTTACAGGGTGTTCCAAGCTGCCATAATGTACGAGGGTCCTTAGATTTGGAACCCTAAACCCTAAAATCCTAAACCCTAAACCCTAAACCCTAAACCCTAAAATCCCCCCCGTTTCTGTTCCAACTCTGGGCGACGGGCAGCATTTGCTTGCCGCTGGCTACTGTACGTAGTGAACTCGAGATTCCGGCAACAGGCGACACAGTCTTCCGTCCAGGGCGCCTTTATCCACGGTTTAGGGTTTAGGGTTTAGGGTTTAGGGTTTAGGGGCCGTCCAGGGTGCTTTTGTCCACAAAAAAGATGCAATGGTCTTTGCTTCGGGTCTGCATAGGCTCAGGGTGTGACGGGTGCGGGCTTAGGGTCTGTCAAGAGTCTAGTCAGTCTAGCTACTGCAGGGGCGTTGATATTTGGAACAGGGTTTTGGGGGTTCCTTATTATAATTATAGTCTTATATAATACCCCCAAACCCTATCGTAATTATTAAGGCCCCGATGCTAGGGCTTAACATGACAGGATCAGGGTGGGTGTTCATGGTGCAATTGCCGAACATCGGATCGGATAGTTGAAAGACGGTGTAGGGTTTAGGGTTTCGGGTTTCGGGTTTCGGGTTTAGGGTTTAGGGTTTAGGGTTTAGGGGACACCTGCCCCAGGGCGGAGATTGAGTGCCTGGTCGGTAACGGTGGCCGCCAGAGACAGTGAGCCATTGAACCCTTCCGGTGTTTGCCATCGGTTCCTTGGTGACCTCGTTACGTGAGGACTTCAAAAGCCTTCATACCCACATAGAGACATACACACAGAAAGACAGACAGACAGACAGACAGACAGACAGACAGACAGACAGACCGACAGACAGACAGACAGACAGACAGACAGACCGACCGACCGACAGACCGACCGACCGACCGACAGACAGACAGGTGAACCCATGGAAGAACAAACAAATGTGTGCAAACGTACCTTTCGCCTATCTAACCTAGTCGAATCACAAACCTACCTACTCTGCTCTACTTTAATATACTGGGGTAGTCTAACCTACGCTAACCCTACTCTGAGACTCTACTCTACTCTAATCTACTGGGGACGGAATCCTATGCCCCCCGCCGTCTATTCCCTGAATGCGTTTTGCCTCCGGAAAGTAACCCACACCGTTTCAACGTTGGTGTTTGGGGCTTCTGGTTGAGGGACCAGGGTTTAGGGATTTAGGGTTCAGGGTTTAAGGATTTAGGGTTTAGGGTTTAGGGATTTAGAATTTAGGGTTTAGGGTTTAGGGATTTAGGGTTTAGGGTTTAGGGGTTTGAGGGTTTACCCCTAAACCCTAAACCCTAAACCCCCAAAGCCTTAAGTTTCCCACCCTGAAACCTGTACACCTCGATACTTTGGAGTGTAGCTCTGGTCGTCTCCCCGGAACCGCTGGCAGGCTCAACTTCGTCCATGACTGACGCAGCCTGGGGAAGCTTGTTTGGATTTGGGATTAAGGCGCAAGGGCTTTGAGAGATTAGGGTACAGGACTTTTGGGCTTTTAGGGCTTTTGGGGCTTTTGAGGCTTTTAGGGCTTTTAGGGCTTTTAGGGCTTTTGGGGCTTTTGGGGCTTTTGGGGCTTTTGGGGCTTTCGGGGCTTTTAGGGCATTTAGGGCTTTTAGGGCTTTTAGGGCTTCGGGGTTGAGAGTTGATGATTGGTGGCTTCCGGGCTGATAACTCAACCGCGCGTGAACGTAGAACTTTACGTTTTACGGCTCACAAGTTTGGCACCCCAACTCCCAGAAACTCGAAGTGGGTTTGGAGTTTAGGGTTTAGGGTCAGGGTGTAGGGTTTAGGGGCTCGCAAGTTTGTGCCGCATCATTCGAGCGCCAACTCTGCTGCGCAATTTTACAAACATGAGGGCAAAGGAAAGCATAACCGAGTTAGGACGCTCTGATAGTTTACGTGTTCCATAGGCCCAAATGCCGCTGAAACAAGAAATCCGCAGCCCCAAACGCCGCAAACTGTCGTATGTTATTTGTGAAAGAAATTTTGAATCCAAGGTACCTTGCATTTTGGTCTTCAACTTCTCTGCGAGTGGAGAACAAGTAAGGCTAGAAAACATGAGAAATTGCCATAGAAGCACAGACATTCATGGACAAGAACAAAAGCGAGCAGATGGGACGACATCGCAAGACTTGAAAGGATTACGTGAGAAGCATTGAGGCAAGGGAACATCTTGCAACTTCGGGTCCCACCGAGGAAGATGGGGAAAAGGAGCCTGAAGATCATGTTCTGCTTTTAGCAGACTTGGAAAACACGGCGGGAACTGAGTGCAGAAAAAAGAATGGCAGAACACGTTACAATAGAGAAGGTCCGATCTAGAGAAAGAACGTACAGCTTGAATCGATTCGTCACAACACCAAGGTGGAGTATGAAAGTAGCATGGTTAGCCTACAGCAAGATGACAGGCCAAAGCCGCACAATAATATATGAGTTCAAACAAGTTGACAAAGGCCTAGGGTTCTAGCCGGTTGAACCGTTGAACCTACCAAGCACAAGAAACCTAATATGACTGACATCTCAATGTGCCATACCCCTAAACCCTAAACCCGAAACCCTAAACCCTAAATCGAAAAAC